TACCGCCTGCGAACGGCCGGTTGGCAGACGTCATGGCCGGCATGTACGACCCTTAAGAACCCGCGTACGACCAGAAGGTCGGCTGTGAGGCGAGGCTGAAGGCAGCCCAAAAACTGGTGGATTTGTGTTGCTGACAATTGAGGGCGATCCCGCGTGAACTGACGGCAGGCAAGCCGGCAGGTGGGGGGCGGGGATGTGCCGGGTGGATCCCCAAGCGGGCGAGCCGGGCCCGTGCATAGTTCGGGCGCGGCGGGCGCGCGAGCATGAGAAAGACGCACCGACATGCTGGCGCTACCGGTCTCTTGTTGCCTGATTTTGACGATTCTCGTTGGACCGTCGCTCGGAGCGAAATCCCAAAACCTCTCAGCTCAAAGGGGGAATTTATTTGTTTGGGCAGTGTTCGACCGGGCTAGTAGTCGTAGTGCAGTGTCACGCATCAAGATACACACGGCGCTCCCTCTGAGATTTGATTGACATTGCCGAGATGCAGATGAGCTCGCCAGCTCGCGCGTAGGGTGCCCACAGGACCCAAAAGAAAATAGCTTTCCGACTCAAAAAGGGACGCACGAGGCAAATCTGATGTTGGAGTGTTCCAATAGGAGCGAGGCCTCTTCCGTTGGGGGACCGAGTGACTAGGAAAAGAGGGTTCCCCGGTTTGTCACGCGCGAGCACGAGCGTGACACTGCACTTGGCGCCGAGCGCCCGCGGCTCGGGAAGATTTCCGCCGTTCGGAGTGCTACTGGGCCCCGTTGAAGCTGGAAGCCGCCGAGAGCACCCATTTTTTGGAAACGACTCTTGAGCTCGACCCAAGCGGAAGTTTCCGGACGAGACTCAAGAACGTTAATGAGGGCTGCGAGACGGCACCGCGAGTGTGGCGCTACCATCGTTGGGATAGCTTCACATGCGCTAAAATGAAGGCGGGCATCGTGGTTGGATGCCTGCTCAAGGTGGTCGCGATGGCAAGCGATGACGAGGGATTCGCACTCAGCGTGACGAGCAAGCTCAGGGAGTTTACGGCGCTCGGATACCCTTCGCACGTGCTTAATGGGGCGATCGGGCGCACGTTTGCTAGGACGAAAGACGAGCGGCTCCTACGAGCAAGAATATGTTCGCACTGGTGAAGGCCAGGCGAGCCAAAAAAAGAC